AAAATGTGATTGGGACTGTGTCGAGGATCATCCGTCTTCGTATTCATTTGGATTTATTGAAGATAACCCATGCGTGACTTTGGCAATTCTCCTGCTTTTTGGTGCGTCATTTTTATCCTTTTTCGGAATGGCATTGCTTTGGATGCGTTTCCTTGTTGCTTACTCTTTTGGGTTTTACCACTACAAACCATTTTCTCATATGACCTTCACCTTACTGTGCTTGTTTTATGGTAACATTTTGCGATGTAATTTTCCGAGAAGTCTGAATTTATTTGGGAATTAATCTTTTCTTCCTTATGTCAGGGAATAGAACAATGGTTTTTCCGACTCTTCTGAATTGTCCTTGTGGTCTCTATACTATATCCATATATTTTTATAAATACGGAATTTTTCAAGCCAAACGCCTTGCATTTTATAGGCTAGTGCGTTTTCCCTCCAAATAGTTTATCAGCGTGGGTTAGTCTTTTGGAAATCTGGTACCCCGTAGCTATTGTTGCTGCGTCTAAATTACATTTTCTTGAATAAGATTGAGCAATCAGAGTCCCAACGTCGACTATGATGCAAATATGATAAATGATTTTGGGGTAAGCGCCTTATCAGACTTAGTGCTTCAGTTTTTCTGCGTCTCTGAATACACGCGATTTCACTATATATATGGTATGATACAGTCGTTCAATGCATTTGACAACAGTAATAGTGATTCACCATCCAACGTTTTGACCTTGTAACCCAACAGTCAGCTGGCATTGTTCCTGATTGTGTTGCAGTGAGTCCTTCGTCTCTCTTCTTAGTAAAACGGATAAATCACCTTCATTCTTTCTGTTTTCTGATGTTTCGGTGTAAATGCCTACATGATTTATCACGTATGTGGTACAGTAGCAACTGTCCTTTTAGGAAGAAACTAATTAATGGCACCCACCGAATCGGTGTCTACTTTGGTACAGCGTGATCACTAAAGTGGACTTCAGTTAATTCTGCCCACCACTCAACATTGCATTCAAGCTAACAGAGCGCCTCGTTTTGCAGTCGTCTCCCGACTGTTTCATGCACAAGGTCATATACGGTCGGAAGTAAGCACAATGCATCTTAAAACTTGTGGTTGGGCGTACTCTCAAACCTGGTCCCGAACTCAATATCAGATTGACATAGTGATAAAAGTCAGAACCAACTTATGTGCATAAATTTGATTTCCCAGTGTCCAGTTGTACTTGAGAGAGGCGGTACCAGTAGTCACTCGCCTAAGAGGACAGGGCAGCCTTATATGAAGAGACTGATGTATTCGTATCCTGGAGATGGTCTAGGCTAAGGTGATTGGCATGCCTTGGTCGGCATACCACTCCGGATCTTACGGGCGTGCTATTGTGGTTCTGACCACGAAAAGGTAGTCTATTTTGAGAGGGCGTCTATATTATGCTCCAGCACATTGAAAGGAGTCAGTGTATTACCGAGTCGTCAGCAGAATCAGTTATTGTTGAACTCATCTGGATAATGGGCGGCTTTCTAGCCATAGTGATGTGAAAACATGTCAATGTACACGAAAATAACTTTAGACTTATGTCACACATTCCAACGTATCCCTTGTGAAACCACACCACACCCTGAGCTGCGGACTACCTAACATATGTTAATAGAGTCGTTTGAATTGATAGGACTGTATGTTAATTTCGGAGCACTGAGACACACTACTCACCTGCGACTGTACCAATGTCTTCCATTTTGGTTGGCTGATCATCAGCCTGCTCATCTTCATAATCTGGGATTTCATCAATGAAGCCTATGTTGATACGGTTGAAAATATTAACTTTTAGTCAGTTTATGCAGAATTAATAGCAAAGTTAGTGTACGGATTCAGCGATTCAAACAAACGCCTTTTACGACTCGCGTCGCTGATACCTACTCAATAAAGCCGTAAAGTGACAACAAGATCTACTAGTGGCCTGATCTCCTTACTCGATTTTGCTACCATTTGACTCTGACGTCAGATGGCAGCTCACTCGATGGATACGAGTGTGCCTTTGTGAACGGATTTGTAGTCAACATCCAAAAGTAAGATGCTCTGTTGGTTGAAGCTTTCGGAGATTTCGAAGTTTAATAGACCGCTGTAAGCATTCGCTCAACCTGCATGTGAGAATTAGCAGCTGTACCGCTCCCAGCAGATCGTATAATGAACCCAACGTGAGATTTCTAATCGAGCAAGGAATTTCCACAGTGCTGGCATCTACACCACAAAATGTGAAAAATCAACTTGTCTATTATTATCACCCAGTCTTATCTCTTACCTTCTCTAATGACTCTTTGTTTCCTTTGAATCATATAATCTTTTGATCACACACTTTTTGTTCGGTCAGCAATAATATTGATATTCCCAGATAGCCTTCCCGCAAAATGTGTGTCTCAACTACAAACGCAGCTCGGAGAGATTGGTGAGGTGGCCATTTAAATATTTCACCGTCTCAGTAACAGATTTAGGCATTCAAAGAACCATTCTAAAAGTTTCCTCAAAAGACTTATCGATGTCTAACTCAGGGGTCTTGTTTAATTGCTTTACACAGTGGATCAGTGGTGCAGGTCAGCAAGATTGGACAAGACTAAATGAAAACTGAATCCAACTGAACGTTGAATCCCAACACAACAGTGTACTACTGGCTACATTTATCAAGAAGTAGACACTACCACTCAATTGTGAAAGACAGTACTAGGGTAGTTTGGCCACGCTGACTCCAGCAATGGATTTGCCTCGGAAGTAGTCAATGCTAAACAGTATCCGCTTTTATCACGAATGTCGAACACATGTAGTGCTTGGATGAATCCATGTATTATGTGCGGATCTTGAACAAAGAGGTGCTCATAAAGGAAACTACTCACAAGGTTGCTGAAAACTCTTCGACAGCAACCTTGTGAGTAGTTTCCTTTATGAAAATATACTGCGATATCTCGAATATCGTGCCAACTGAATCATGAGGCGGTCTGTGTGCGGCACATTCAGCTGGAGGGCATCATAAACGAGAGATTCAATTGAGTCACCCATGAAAACCAAATTGATTTGCAGATGAGTGTATTTCTCGAAAGAGGTGCTCAGTTCTTCAACTGTTGAACACGGAAATTTTTTCGCCAATTATTTTCTTACCGGGGAGTTTCTTTGTTTCACATGGTGAAAAATTGGAACGAGGTGGGAAGATAAACAAGTTGCTACCATGTCTGTTTTAGTGAAGATGGTGTGCGCTGCACTTAAAGGATAGTGTGTTTACAGTGATCTCCTATGGCTACACGCCGTTTGATCAAAGTGTATCCAAATCTAATTGACTGTCACCTGAAACGGGACCGGCTTTTATCCGTGTATGTGAAGGCAACTTTACCAGAATTGCCAGTAAGCTGAACTATTACATGACTTTTTGCTTACCTAGACGGACACAAATTGACTCGTCCAGTTCATCTAGAACGTAAATGAAAGTGATGAAAGCTATTAGCACACGAAATCAGCTTTTAGGTTATTTTTTCAATAAAAACTACGTAAATGTCAGCGCATAGGTTTAGTCAATCTATGGTTTCACTTCTTAGTGGACCTGCATCTGATGACAGTGTAGTTTGCCTTTTCTGTCTCTAGAGGTCTTCAAAATTACAAGACCCACTCTTATCAGAGTGACTGGCTTGATGTTCTTTCGAACGTGTCAACAAGGCTTCTCATTCACCCCTGTGCAAGCTACTTTTTGACTGATGAAACAAAAGCAAAAGCACGAAACATGTCGGCTGAAATGCCAGCGGGTGGATGAATCCTTCTCGCATCTCTCGCAATGTGCAGGTTGGGTGAAGTGTGTGAATCGGTTTCCACCAGACACCCAAGATTGTGAAGCAGCATTACTCTTGCTTGAAGGTATAAATTTATCGGGAACATATTGAAAAACATTTACGTGGACCGTGACCCAGTAAAATACGGCCTCAGAATAATGATAGATAGCCTGCAGTCACAGGATGTGTGTCCGATGGTTTGTTCGCTGAACTGGACAATTTGGTTGCAAGCGTTTCATCACCAATCGAAGTTCGTACTTCACCGACCCAGAAACGCACAGGTGAGTCTCTCGAAAGAACCAAATTGGTTTGCAAATGAATTCATATTCGCTAAACGCCGGTAGTCTTCTTAGACCAGATCCCAGTCTCTTTGTAGCACACCTGCAACGTCTTCTGCAGTTCTTCCCCACAGATTCAAAAATAGAAAGGCATTGGGTGAAAGATCACCAATGACCGTGGCATTCTAAATCTCGAGATTCTTGGTGCGCACTATGGGTAACCCATTGACCATCATCAGTTCTACTCCAGGCTGTGTGATTTTCGGATTGAGGGTGTAACTCATAATTACAGTTCCAATTTTTAAAAAAGTGGACCTCATTTAAGCCGAAGCTTTGATTCTTAAATTCCTTGCTGGTATTTGTCTCAGAAGACCTCATGTAAAATGATGAAATTTAAAACCGTAAAGTAAAAATTCTAATGATCCTGGCCAAGGCTAAACCAGTGGGATAAGAGAACGTCTAATTCAGTTCGCTCATGAATCGTACCACAAATTTTAGCCGTACAAGCTGAGCAAGCTGAAGTCAACTCAATCGAAAGTGTATCAGAAGAGCCAGATAATTAATTTGTGATAAGCCTAAAGGTAAGTTCTGGAAGACTGGTAATTAATTCCGTCGTCAACAACAAAACTCTGCTCTGAGATTTTTCAGTAAAAGGCAAAATATCGTCGCAATACCCCACAACTTGTAAAGATGGCGTGATCCGCCAATGAAACTCGGGAAATCGCCTCAAAATACCACTCCAGTAAGAGCGAACGCAGGTAAAACCGGCTTAATTTTTGTGGTAAGCTTGTGAAAGTTCGGGCGTTCATCCTCATGGGGACTGGCCTCAATGTAGTTTTGGTGCTGAAGCACGCCGTGCGCAAAACACTATGAAATAAAGTCAAAGTACAGCATCCCATAACTTTCACTGCACAGGGAACCCGGGTGTGAGGAGTAAAACTCTCGTAACGTACCTTGTGCATAAACATACTTGAACCTTTCCATCGGTCTAATGACAACATGTTTCACAGAATCACACACTGCATGCATTCAAGTGTTGCAGTCATTGTTGCTGGGTTCTCCATTCCCTGCGCATTGTGGTTAGTAATGATGACAGGCTTGAGCGGAATGTCCTGCTGCTAGCCGAAACAGTAAGAGGAGTTCCTTCATCTCAGCCACAGTTTCCAAGTAGTGAAGTTCATGAGGAAACGTCTTCCAGTGAATTGCTGCTTTCATGTCATGCTGTATTGCTAATGAATAGCCTAAAATCCAGTTTTTTAGTCATTAAACAACCATCAGAACAGGGGTTCGCATAAGCTAGATCGGCGTATCTTGCGTGCTATCAAATACCGTTCCCACAATTTTGGCCGATTTGTCATTCAGTATGACCCACAACTATGCGAACACGCCAGTTAGTATATAAAACTGGCTGCGTTTGAGGCAACCCCCACTACTCGTATTAAAATACGAAGCCATCTGGTGAAATCGATCCAATCGGAGTGGTTACTATTGCAATATAAGATGGAGAAATCTTTGTGGGATAGCTGGTTTTGAAAGTTTTGGTACCGAAATCGTGAGCCAAGTTATATTAACCATAACCTGAGATGGAATTCCCACAGCACTTCCTACACTGAACGAGGAACTCGGTTGGTCTTATTTTAGCGTCATTCTAACTTTCAATCGAGGGTTCTAACTTGATTCCAGTATGTTATCAGTGGTTAGAATGCAGTGAACAAATTTATAGTAGGTTAGATTTATAACACAACAACAAGTAGGATGTGTGGATAAGAGGTTAGCTACAGGCTACATCAAACAGAAAGTGTGAAAGTAGCAATGAAAACGTGTTCGAGATATTTGGATTCATTCCCCTGGATTAACAGTTCTTATGTTTTGTTATGTGGAAGGACATATACTTGGGGAAATGGAATTTACTGCAATGAATGGCAGATGTGAACAAGACACGAAATTTCCGTGAATAGATATGTTTCGGCGCTTGAGACACCGTATTGTAAGCCTCTCAGAACGCCTCCGTCAGATGTATGATATGTTTTTCGTTTTACTAAAACACTCCAGCTGGGGACGTTTTACCCATATCGGATCTCCTTCTGCCCAGTTTTCTAGCGTTGCATCAGTTGGTCTATGGTCATCAGTGTCCAGTCTGAATACGACTGAGCTATTAACTGACCGAAATCCCTTCGTGCTAGGCAAAATAGTATATAGTAAACCATAATACGCAACATTCGGGGGAGACAGCCGAGACAAAGCCGCAACGGAAACACACACGTCAATAAAGTTGAACATTAGGCGTCCTCAGTAAATCTTGAAACCGGATAAATTTCACGTTACAGGATTCATCTCGGGTTTTCACATTTGCTTCGGAAAATGAATTCAAGTTTTCTATCGTGATAAAACTACGGGGTTAGTTGAACTGTCCTAATGGTTACATGGTTGGGTGGAGTTGAGTGATTCACATGGTTCCTGTTCGGCCCACTAAGATCAGATTTGTTCTTTTGGTTGGCCATCCTCCGATTATGATTCTACGGTTACTTGTATCGCTGGGCAAGCTACACACCATCATTATTAACACACTTAGTAATTTATACACTTTGGGATGAATTTTAAAGCATAAGGGCATTTCAACGGCATTTCGTAAAACTGGGCCTCATAGAGGTTTTTTGAAAAAAAAAAGACTCACAAGTTAGACAGTCAGCATACTACACATAAGATCTAGAC